TAAACTCATGAACACGTAATAGCGTTAAAAAAATTGTTTTTTTTGTTTTGTTTTTTTTTAGATAGAAATAAAAATATATAAGCATATTAAAATTTTCTTTTAAATAATGTAAAATGTCGAGAAGTGCCTTACGTGCAATAGTCGTTTAAATGTTCTGGAAATCTCACCCTTCTTCCAGAACGCGTCGTTTTAGGTTTATTTTCAGATACATGCGGAGTATAATTGCTAGTATTGGTTGTCGGTTGAGGAATTACGAGTGGAGTCGTGTCGTTCGATTGTAACGAAGGAAAATCCACGTAGATAGGATTTCCTTCTAAATACGCTGCTTTTAAGCGATCGATGCTGATGCTATCGTTGGTTCCGTTCTTATCGACTATATAGTACTTCGGTTCGCGTTGAAGAACTTTGAAGGGTCCTTCGTATGCTGATTCGAATGGTCGTCGATGCGAGTCTCGACGAACGAAAACGTGTGTACTATATCGTAAGTCAGGTTGAACGAAAACATCAGTTGATTGAGGTCGAGTGGAAGCAGGTTTAACTGAACGCATTGCGTTTGTAAGCCTGTTCGTGTAGGAGGTTAGATCCATGTTCATTGAAAAGGACGAAGGATCCACGAATTCTCCTGGAAGTCGAAGTGTCGTTTCATAAACGAGTTGAGCCGCAGTGTATCCAATGTCAGCTTTCACTGCATTGCGGATACCTAGTAAGACAAGTGGAAGAGCGTCGGTCCACTGTGAAACGTTTGCAGCTGATAGAGAAGCTTTCAGTTGTCGGTGAAAACGTTCAACCAACCCGTTTGCTTGTGGATGGTAGGCGGTCGTTCGGAAGCGAGTGATTCCTAAAAGTGTGGTCAGACGACGGAAAAGATCAGATTCAAACTGACGTCCGCGGTCTGTAGTGATGGTTGAAGGGCAACCGAAGTTTGCTACCCATCGTTCGACGAAGGTGCGGGCCACTGTTTCAGCAATGATGTCCTTGATAGGTACTGCTTCTGGCCATCGAGTGAAACGGTCTACGCAGGTTAAGAGATAAGAGTATCCATTTGAATCTGGTAAAGGTCCTACCAAATCCAGATGAACATGGTCGAAACGAGCATCGGGAGTTTTAAACGAGCCTAAGGGACATTTATTGTGTCTGATGACCTTAGATTTTTGGCAGCTTACACAGGAGCGTGCCCACTCCCTCACGTCTTCATTCATTCCAGGCCAGCAAAACCGTTCTGCTATAAGCTTGATGGTTGCACGAACACCTGGATGCGAAAGTTTGTGCAATGTGTTGAAGACATTGCGTCGATAATGTTTCGGCACGATTGGGCGATCCCTACCTGTAGACGTGTCACAAAGTAAGGTTTCGTTACCTGTTCCCATCTGTTTGATGCGTAGTTTAAGTGTTGTGGACGATAACTCGTGCTGAAGATCACTGTCTTTTTTTTGAAGCTCGGCGAATTTAAGAAGGTCGATTCCTTGGAAACTGTTCAAGGAAGTTATGCGAGATAAAGCGTCTGCAACTACATTGTTTGCTCCAGAGATGTGTTGAATGTCTGAAGTAAACTGCGAAATGTAGTCCAGTTGTCGAGACTCACGGGGAGAGTACTTGTCAGAAGGAGAGCTTAACGAGAAAGTGAGCGGTTTATGGTCCGTGAAAAGAGTGAATTCACGACCTTCGATGTAGTGTTGAAAATGCCGTACAGCACAATACATAGCTAGGAGTTCCCTACCGAATGTGCTGTACCTCGATTCGGTGTCTAGCAACCTTCTAGAGAAAAATGCCAAGGGTTGCCAGGAGTTGTTAACCCATTGTTGTAAGACTCCTCCGATTGCTGAGTCGGATGCGTCTACTGCGATGCTAATGGGTGCTCGGGTGTCCTGATGTGCGAGCATTGTTGCTTTAGCAATCAGTTCCTTAACTGTGAAGAATGCTTTTCGTGCGGTGTCGTCCAAATTAATGGATTTCGCATTTCCACGAAGTTGGTCGGTTAGAGGTTTCATGAGTAATGCGCATTTCGGTATGAAACGTCTATAGAAACTTACCAGGCCGTTAAACGTGCGTAATTGCTTGACGGTGGTCGGTTCTGGGTAATCCAGAATGGCCGCCACTTTGGTCCTAAGAGGTCGAATGCCTTGAGCATCGATAGTGTGTCCTAGGAAGTCTAACGAGTCGGTTCCGAATTGGCATTTCTGAACGTTTACAGTTATGCCATGTTTTTGAAGTCGTTCGAAAACAAGATCCAGATGCTTGAGATGTGTTTCTCTGTCCGGACTTGCGATTAGACAGTCATCAACATACGCGTGTACGAAGTTGAGACCTCGAAAAACGTCGTCTATGAATCTTTGGAATGTTTGAGCAGCGTTCCTTAGACCGAAAGGCATTCGCAAAAATTCATAGAGTCCGAAAGGAGTTATGATAGCTGTTTTCGGTATGTCGTCAGTAGCCATAGGGATTTGGTTATACGCTTTAACCAAGTCGATTTTCGAAAAGACAGTTGTACCTTTCAAGTTAACTGTCAAATCGTTAATGTGAGGCAACGGGTAACAATCGGGAATGGCTTTCGCGTTCAATCGCCGATAGTCACCAGTTGGACGCCAATCGTTGCTGTCCTTTATAGGGACCATGTGCAACGGAGATGCATAAGGGCTATTTGACGGTCGTATGATTCCTAAATCTATCATGTGATCTAATTCGTTTTTCGCTAACTTTAGCTTTTCAGGAGCTAGTCGTCGTGCTTTAGAGAATACAGGTGGTCCTGTAGTCGTGATGTGATGTGTAACATTACTGGTTACACACGGTGGTTTCGGTTGAGTTTGTTGTATCCCCGGGTACTTATCGAGTAGTGGCTGATAAAGTGGGTCGATCATACGCTTAACTGTGACTGGGGATAATCTGCAACCAGAAAAGGAAGTTACGCAAACGGACAAATTAGTGTTTCCGTCTACTAGTCTCCGTTTGCGCGTGTTGATGATCAGATTGTGATGTTGTAGAAGGTCCATACCATTGATTGGCATAGAAACATCTGCAACAACGAAAATCCAGTGAATGGGTTTGCGTAAACCCACGTTAAGGTAAACGTACCTTTTGCCATACGTAGCGATCGGTTTTCCGTTTGCCGCCTGTAAGTTTAGAGCCGAATCTTGAAGCCGATCGTTGGGATTCGCTGGGAGAACGCTAACTTCTGCGCCAGTGTCGACGAGGTAGCGAACTCTCGTTGTCACATCTGTGACGAATAACAGACGGCTATGTTCGCCGGCTACGGTTGCCGTTAACGCGTGCCGGCTTGGAAGTTTCCCGAATTGCTTTTCGAATCAGTCGGTTTCGTGTTGGGAAAATTGCAGGGTTTTCTGCAATTTCTGGAAAACTTTTCATACTGGTTATGATACCAGCACCAATCGGGGTTATCTGTCTCTCGTGGTCTAGAGACAGATCGCTTACGAGAAATGCTTCTACGTGGTGTGCGCGATCTCTTACGGTCGGTACGAAGACTAAGATAACACGTGAGTGTGTGACATAAGTCGGTTATATCATTCTGAGTCGTTTGAGGTTTTTCTTTGACTGAAAATACCTCGGTAGTAGATTTCGTAATTTCTAAAATGTGGTCGGCAGATGCAGCTAGCTCGTCTAAGGCGTTGTTCTGGAACGAGACCAGAACTGCCTGCACCTGTTGGGGAAGTTTTGACAAGAAGAGTTGTTTGAATAGACCTTCGTCGAAAGTTCTTGGGCCTATTACCTCTCTCATCCGTTGCAACATGTCCGTCGCAGAACCGTGTTGCAGGTCGATATTGTTAAAGAGTTGATCTAACCTTTGTCGATCGGTTAGGTCTCCTTGTTTAAGAATCGAGCGTTTTAAGATTTCGTAAGGATCGGAAACATCACTAGTAAACATACTAGGTGTTACGTACCTGTTGAATTCGCGCGGTAGTGCCTTGACTACTGCGAGGAATTGTGCACGTGTGTCGATCACGCCGTGCTCGGAGAAGTCGGCTTCTGCGTAGCAAAACCAGGCTTCGATGTTGTTGGGCCAGAAAGGCATGAGTTGAAACGAAGGCGGGGACAAAGTCTTAAGCTTGAGTACTTTAAGTGTCTGTTCAGTCATGATGAAGTATGAAGTACGATAATGAACGAGGGGAAATTATATATATATCCAAGAAAAAAAACACGAAAAAAAATCACAATGTTTAAAATAAAATAAAAAATAAGGCAATGATATATAAAAATCCCAGAAAGTAACAGACTCACAGTTGCAATTAGATGTACCAGATCACGTCGGGTTCACCAATGATGATGTCACAGGTATTCAGTGTTTGACAACGCTTATACCAGTAACACCTTCTAATGTATTTCGTTCCCGCCCAGAGAAATCAAAAGACAGAGTCGAGGAGATCGGAAGAGTATATTTGGCGATGACCAATATATCGGAATTCTCTGATCTAATCTGGCTAGCGATTGCGGTTGATGTTGAGCACGGCGTTACCACACGTGATCTGGTACGGATGCATGACCGAGCGCCTTCAGCTAGATGAGTCCACTAAAACATATGGTCAGCATCCAATGTCGAAAACTTAGGGCTATTTATTTTGGGGATTTATTTACCGCTACAACGTCTTAGAGGTGACCTTCTGACGGCTTATAGTATCCTTAACACTTCTGGTCATCCTCTCAAACACCCACTTAAGCTTAGTTCCAACACTAACCTAAGGGGTAACACCCAGAAACTGGAAACACAACATAGCAAAACGGAATGTAGACATAACTTCTATTCCTTAAGAGTTGTCAAATGCTGTAACTCGCTGCCGGCCGAGCTAGTCCAAGAGACTTCCCAGGAGTCCTTCAAGAGGCAACTTGGCCCATTCTTAAGGACCAAGGCCAACATCATACTATGATTTACCAATTTCTTTTTCCTCTTTTATTGTTAACATACCTAGGTTCCTGCCTGGAGGTTTTGGTGATCCCCTGCTTCTAGACACGGAAGCCTGTTAAGCGAAAGCTCCTTCTATTCCGTCCACAACCATTTGAACCATTTGAACCATTTGAACTATGTCCGTTTTTCTTTACGAACTTCAGCGCTACCGTCGTGAATTGTTTACTAGGTAACTGTCTGATGTAAATTGAATATACTGGTAGTTGCTGTGTATAATACAAATTTTATCATCTAACTCGCAGTTTTTAAACTCTTAAGCTTATAAGCTTTCCAAGACTATGGTCTTGGAAAATCATCTGGCGAGTAATCTGTCTTATAAATCATTATAATGTATACATCCTATTCTATCTAATATTCACAGGTATACTTTAAAAGAATTGGCGCATGTTAATGGGTCTTCTACCTTTAAGGGTAGTGATTACTACTGTAGTTTGTTGAGTGAGATAAAAGACTCAATAAATCCCAAAAGTAAACATATCTGATATATCAAATCAGTCTTCGACGCCAAACTTATTAACTATAGTGAATTAATCCCCAATTTAAAAACTGAGGATTGTATACAGTCATGTCGCCTTTGTTAAGTTATGCATAGATATATTCCCTGTCTACATTCCTTTAGGTTCTGATAACATTGTTAGTCAGCTACAACGTAGGACCAGGCACATATATGCATCAGTCCAAGTTGCCACACCTCATTAGCACCACAAAATGATCACTAAATTCACAAAGTAGTTACTTCGACGGTGGTGACATATAAAAGAAAGATTGTGTGTAATGATATAGTACAGGAGGAAAGAAAGATATAAAGCAGTTTTAATCTCACAGTTCAAGGGAAGACAAAGAGCGTATACACTGACGCCGTTGTGATCGATTCTGAGCCATGTCACTAAGAGTCTCCAGCCATTGGTTACGGAAGTCGCGTGGACTCCAATCAAGTAGTCTGCATCTACCAACATGGCTCAGACTAGAAGTTAGTGACTTCAAGCACTAATGTCACGTTTTTGTTTGGCCGCCCCTAACTTTCTTCCAACCATCCCTAACATCGGTTAGCATTACACATCGTGGTAATTGGTGTTCAGGCATACGTAACACGTGGCCCAACCATCTGAGTCGATGAAGATTCACAACGTCATCAACTGATTTACCATCATTCCCTAATACCCTTTATCTAACCTCACTATTACTTACCCAGTGATCCCAGCAAATGCGAGCAATATTTTTAAGACATCTGTGACCAGATACTAGTTTACGAGTATCCTCTACTCTTAATGGCCACGTTTCGCAGCCAAGATAACACATTAGAGTAGAATAATTTCAGGCCTTTATGTAGACTTTCGTTTCAGTCCACTGGACATTTCCTGTTAGCTACTGTCTAGCTAAATTGGCTCTGTTAGGGCCAAAAATTTAGAGTATGTCAGGATACACGCACTGCTTATTACTGTAAGTTCGTAGATGTTGAAGCATTACAAATTAGTAAACAGGTATTGCTTCAATCCAAAACTCCCAACCGTTGTTGCTACCTTGACGTGGTGGTCGGGGTTGCCTATCGTGATGAAGCAACCGATCTATACTGACTGGAACAACCGTTCCTCAAGGTCCTACCATGTTAGACAGGTCGGTTGAAGAGCGGTAAGACTAAAAGCAACAAACCCAAGGTCCGAAGGTGAAGTCGTACTGCTGACTGTACAGAGGTGTGACAGCAGTAAGGTGTTTCCTTCAGACGACCAGCATGACAGCGATGCTGCCTTCCCACAAGGAGGGGTGGGATTAGAAAAGGTCGACCCTAAAAATGCACACCTCACGGATATCCGTCTCCGACGGAAAAGTCTCAACAAGTACGGAGCTAACACGAAAATTACCCATAAAAAGGTCGCGCGTGACCGACCTCAAGTAGTTGTCCATTGGGCTCTGCGGTCACGCTCTCAGATCACTAAGACCACCTCTAATCCAATTTCCTTTTCAAGTACCTCCAGAACAACCCTTCCACGGTGTGGGCAACCGGGAAGTGATAACCGCCCTCATACCTCTAACAGCACTCAAGACCAATGACTCAATCTAAAACTACTTTATAATGGTTAGTAACATTTCTACTCTGGCGAATTTGTTACTTACTACTTGATAATCGAGTATTTTACTTTATTACTGCTAAGCCACCACCTAACTTGTAATTTAAACGGCTAAGTTCTTGATATTTTCTTGAATTCACTACGATACAATTGTTCTGAAAATCCTATAAACATTCTAGACCACAATCTTCATATCTCTCTCGCTTTCGTTCTTTAGATATGAACTCTTAGCTCCTTAATTAATCTAAAAATACTGATCAGTTCTCAAACACTCCCTCAAGATTTCATCATTCTTTTCTGAGGATATCAATAAACTAACTAACATAATATATGACCAATTTTTTGGACAAGACTCAGTGGCAGCACTTGGTGGCTGGTGTTACTGGGGGCGTTGTATCCGTTTTGGTTTTGCATCCATTGGATTTGGCCAAGATCAGATTGCAGGTGAATGAAGGTACAGGTGTTATCGCATGCAGGTTGGGATTGGTTTTTGGTCGCTGCGTTTCACATATTTTTTGGTCTCAGTGAGGTCAGTAAGGTCGGTGTACTAGTTTCCGCAATAAACTTTCTGTGGTTTAAGGAACGTTCGTTTTGATTGAACCAACTGCGTATCCCAATAATCGTGGGTTCCAGGATCCTGAAGGAAGAAATAGCAATATGAATCAATCGTTGGTCACTGGCTACTATGGGACTGCATCTCCTAACGTTGCTTCACTGCCTTGTGGATCAGACCTTTAGGTCGAAGGCTCAGGGCGTGGCCCCTAAGAAAACCACCTATTTATTAAGCTCAGATTCTGAAGTTTTCATTTTTTTTTTATATATTAGTAACTGATCTCATGTGAGTCGTTTTTTGTCGCAAAATGTTTGTCACCATTAGTCACTCAGTGAGCATAAAAAGTCACTCTCTAATAAACGATTCTAGATGCTTGAAAAACATAAATTCCCTGGTTGAATTTTATAGTTTTTGTTATTATTATTATTATTATTTGTTATTTCATAAAAATGACCGTCATCAGTACTTACTACTTATTTATTGTGTAGACCCAAAACAACGGGAACTATTCAAACATTGTATGAGATAGTTCAGTGTAGAGGTCTTCGTGGTCTTTACCTTGGTTTCACCCCGAATGCTATTGGAGCGGGTAGTTCATGGGGTTTGTATTTTTTCTTGTAAGTACTTTTTTCTGTGGTATAACTATATATTTACCAGAGTTGGTTTATCCACAGGATAACTTTTATTTATTTATTTATTTATTTGAACACATAAATATTGGTACAAGAGGGCTTCAAATATATATGCGTCACACAGGATAACTTAGTGAATAACTAGACAAATGCATTCGCATGTCTTTAATTGTCTATATGCCCAACAAGTTATTTCGGTTGAAAATTGGATATATATTCATAAACTGGGCTAACATCAACAAAAGTGTAAGATAAATCTTGATTGTTCTTATTTTTCACTAACCTGATTACTGCTTAAGTCATCAGATCCGGTTGAGTTTCAGCAGTTAATTTCTATATCACAGGTAAATATGCTTGGTAAAATTAGTTATCATCATCTTGAGTAAACTAAGAATATCTGCAAAGCTACCAGGTAATTATAAAACACGTACAACGTCTATAGTGTAATTAAAATGAGTTTTGACAATTATTCGGATAACTTTGACCAATCGTTATTGCTTATACACATCTCTAACCAAATGCAGGTTTATGCTTTCAGGCCTTTGATCAAACTTTTTGTAGTAGAGGTAATAAAACCAGTCGTTCAAACTGAACCAGGCGACTAAATCTTTGAAATGTCGAGATAAAAAGCTAAACACCCAAGTACCAATTACGAACGGTTATATTTCAGTACAATTTGAGTCAAAATCCAACAGTTTCGTTTTTTTAAACAGTTTATATACTGTCTTTTTCAAGTTTTACCTTGATTATATTATTACATCAACATCCTTATCACATTTTAACTAATTAAGTCCTCACCAATTCACGTTGGAACATCTATCTTTCACTTAACAGCTATGAAAGCTTGAAACGATTTGCTCAGCGCGGTGATAAAACCAAATCTCTCACTACCAATCAATATCTCACATTTGCTGCTTTGTCAGGTAATTTCTAAAATAATAACTTCATTTTTTTATCCCGTTTAATGATGTGTAATTTTAAATAACTAAGTATTAAAATCACCGAAACGCAGTTTTAAAAAAGTCCGAGTTACGCTGTTGAGAACGCTGATTGCTAACGCACGTTGGTAAACTATCTGATCAATGCCCTAGTGTTTATACCCCTCTACTTTCGACTAACTACTTAGTATCAGGTCCAAAAGTGATGTGTATGTTTCGGCTCGTGGTCATACAGTTGCATTATTTAGTCGTAAACCAGATAAACGTTATACCTTTGAAAATTCATATTCATCGACCAAAATTTCTTTTGCGTATGTTCGGGATAATGCATCATCAAGTATCAGCAGTACTGACTAGTGGTTGGACAAATTAGAATAGTGTATGAATTATATATATATATATATATATATATATATATATATATATATCACAACAGTTGAGCTGTCATGGCACAGATAGCTTAATGTTGACGTGTCGAATTACATAGATTCGAATACCAGAAGACAAAATACTTTTCAAATTGCAAGTTTTTAAAATGTACCTTAGTTTTAAACATTCGATCATAATCTCTTTAATAAGATTTGTTAAATCACCAAAACCTCATGGTAACTCAAATCCAGACACTTAAAATCAAATTTTTATTAGGCGATTTCTAAAACCATAAAAATAACTATAAATGCTCATATATTTCAAACTAATTACATTTTCAGGTGTGATTACACTTTCAATTGTAAATCCAATTTGGGTGATTAAAACTAGATTATGTTTACAATATGAAAAGGTAACGAAATCTTTTCCGAAATCTCAAATTAAAAATCCATCATTAGTAATACATTCTCAATCTACATGGCATGCTTTGCATAATCTATGGATTCATGAAGGTTTTGCTGGGTTGTATCGTGGTTATGTACCCGGTTTATTCGGCGTTAGTCATGGTGCTATACAGTTTATGTTTTATGAACATTTTAAAAATTCTTATAATACACGTTATCGAGGAAGGTCAGTTAGTGAGAAACTGGTAGGTTATCTTTCATTTTTCTCAACTATTCTATTATCATTGCCTTCAAATAGAATAATAACTATTCATTAATAGTAACTTCGCCCGTAGCTCTTTCAGGACTACTGCAGGTCTTTAGCCTGGTTAAAGGAGGGGGTTGGGCATGGGGTTAGTAACCCCTATCCCGTAGAAAGCAACCTTGCTAAAAACCGCTAACCAGATTAAACAAATCAAACCATTAAAAGTCTGCCATCCGAGTTGAAAGATCTTTCGAAACAATTATGACGTCTCATGATGAAAGCCGTGATTCTTCGGAAGTCACGAGGCCGATGCCGCTTCTAACAACCAAAGTAACAATTAGTAACCCACCAATTATATCAATGATGGCGATAAAAATGAGTTCTATAAGAGGCTGTAGTCGATTTCAGTGAAGTGCCCAGAAAAAGACCTGAAAATCCTGATGGGAGATCTAAACGTCAAAGTCGGGATGGACAACACCAACATGGACTAGGTGAAAGGAGCGAGAATGGTGACAGATTCGCAAATTTATGTGCATTCAACAGGGTAGTCATAGGTGGAGAAAACGATGATCAAACACAGAGATTTGTCTAATATCCTCAACTCGGAGAGGTCAGATCTTACAAGTATGGGGCAAAACTACTTTCACCAACGAGTAAACTCGACCGTTTACGGCCGAACTAACATCACGAAGGCACCAAAGATGGACCAAATTGGCATAACCAGCTCTTACTTTCACTATACTTGAATCCATCTCGTCAAACGCCACGACTAACACTTACGCAAGAACTCAGAAACATAAAATTTCCAACTAATTCTACATGCTCACTATCAAGAGTGAGTGTAGGCATAGTCTCTTGACGGTCTTGTAGAAGTACTTTGCATTTAGAAGGTGAAAGGCACGTGCCACGCTCGTGTACATTTGTAGCCAACTGATTAAGTTCGGTTTGATTAGCTTGTGTATCAAAGTACAGTAAGACAATATCATCCACATACTTCTTGGGAGCCGATCCACACCACCATTACCTGCAACCATCAGAGCTGATTCCAGAAGGTCATCAATCGCAAAGTTGAAGAGGAATGATGAGGTCGGGCAACCCCGCCTAACCCCACTGTCTGAATAGAACAGCGGAGAAAGGTGGTTGTATGTCCTCACTCTGACTGAGGTGTTATTATGTAGGGCTTTCAAGATATTAATAAACTTCTTATGCATACCTTCAATAGACAATCCCAGAGAATAGCCCTGTCCAACCAATCGAAGGCAGCCGTAATGTCAAGAAACACTACAATTTTTGGCTTGTGATAAGTATGACGCTGTTCTAACATTTGGCGTAAAGTGAAGATATGATCAATGCATCCTCGACCAGAACGAAAACCAGCCTGCTGTTCGCGAATCAATGTTTCCCAGGTTTTGAACAATCTACGAAGTATGACGGAAGCCAATAGTTTGGACGCAATCGGAAGTAGATTTATTCTCCAGTAGTTGTTACATAGATGACGTGAACTCTTTCTAAAGATAGAGACAACTATCGACTCATTCCACGATGTTGGAACACTCTCCAACTTCTAGACACTTGTGAACAACTCAGTCAATTTTTTTAACCTGAAGGTCGCCACCATCTTTTAAAGTCATTTGGGTCTGGTGATTTGTGGCACTTCTGAAGTTAGAGTTTCCTGCAGACTTCCGCCTCGTTAGCGGGTCAGTCGTCACCGGCCATCATGGACAGGACAATCTGATCGATGTTACTGGGGCAACAAACCAGCTGAATTGTTCCACGAAAAAATCTGTTCATCGTCCGAAACGTCGGCAGATGTTATTGATTGGCATTACGTCAGCTTCAGAGACTTTCACTCACATAAGACTTCTCGTTGCCAGTGTGTCGGATGAATTAAAAGAGCTTCTGGTAGTTACCAGATACAGCAGCCGTTATCAGACCTGAGACCAACAAGCCCCCATTGGCAACCAAACGACTCTTCTCTATGCCTAGACGCCCGACTTATGCATTCAAGTCTCCGGTTAGTACTACAATACCTGTCCGTACCCTATTTATTCTCTCAAGATCCTGGGGCCCATGTGCACCATTGGTTTCGTATTAGTGTTTTCCAACTCTCCTAAATAGATGTTCCGTACCCACCAACCCTACCTCATTGTCGGACATTTGCTCTTCGTTCTTCTAATTTCATGGACAACATCCTCGACGTGAGTAGGACTTGAATGCCAGTGGCTGTATACACTTGGTCGTATGAGAGCATTTCGATAGGGAGAGTAGACTCTTCCGCGCCGCATCATGCCATTTAAGGGCAAAAACTACTGAATATTAATAAGTAGTTTAGTGTGATACACAACGAACGAGCAAGAGAGAAATAGTGTTCAGAATATATTTTACATTAGTTAGATAGCGTTATTAGTTCTCATATAATAGATGTAACTTGTCGTTTATGGGCTAGAAAAATTGTTAAACTTTTTAAAGCAAAACATTTGATCCCCTTTCAATGCTTTCTTTCTGACTCTCTTCACTTTAATTTCAGTCCGCTGTCGAATACCTGACATTTTCATCTGCTTCTAAACTGATTGCAGCTGTAATAACTTATCCGTATCAAGTTATTCGTTCAAGAATGCAAGACCAGCATAGGAAATACGATGGCGTTACTGATGTTATTCGACAATTGTGGAGGTTAGTTAGTTTCTATTTCAAGTTCAATTGAATTACTCTTTTTTGTTCGTAAGGAAATACTATTATTTCATTGAAATTTTATATTCATAAATGAAAATTTGAGTTTTAGTTTTATTAAATTTACTAGTTAAATATAAAGTAAAAAAAATAAAGTTTCCATATACCCTTTAATATTAGACTCTGATATAAGTAACATTCCATGATCAATAAAATCCTTCGAAAAGAGAATAAAAGATTTCATGATGTTTATTTGAGTTCCATTGTCTACTTTAAATCTTTCTGTGTACTGCAATAGTTAGTCAGTCATAGATAACTTAGATCACGGAACCCTTTACATTTGGATACAATTGCGGACATCTACTAGGTAAAGGTGTAGTGAAGGTGAACACAGGTGAGGACAACCGAATTATATTTAGCACAAAATTACCGAGTTACTTGGTAAAATAGAAAAAATCATACTCTAATACTTAATTTGCGAAATGTTTAATAATTGTCTCGGACTTCATTGTTCTTGCATTTCCATACTAATTACTTTCTATTCCCGTTGTTCCTTTCTTGATCTTCTCAATTTTCTGTTGCCAGACATTGTATTCTTAAGTCGCGTTATATACTACTTATGTCAATATAAGTAGCACACTTATTATTATTATTATTATTATTATTATTGTTTATTTGGACACATAAATATTGGTACAAGGGGGCACCATATATATATGTGCCACACCATATTTGTGTGTGTGGGCTGTGATACCGCCCGGGTGCCCAGACCGAAGCAGGTGGTTTTCTTAGGGGGCCACACCCCGAGCCTTTGACCTAAAGGTCTGACCCACAAGGCAGTGGAGCATCGTGAGGAGATGCAGTCCCATGGTAACCGATGACCAACAATTGGTTCATACGCCATTTGTTCCCGCAGGATACTGGAGCCCATGTGCACCATTGGTTTGGAATCCGGTTAAAGCGCTTTTCGTCCTCTCAATTTGGTAAACAACAGTAGTGCCATAAGAAGGCAGTGACTAGGATTTCCCTGGCAGAGGCTGTATACGCGTGGCCGTGTGAGAGCATTTCGAGAGGGAGGGCGGGCCCACCCCACTCTCGGACATACCAGTGCATTTGGGGGCATAAGTAGCACACGTCACAAAGGTATAGAGAATGCACGATTTAGAATAAATGTGTATCAATTAACTGATGACATCTTACATCAGGAAAGCAAGAGTGAAGGAAAACAAAGAATCATTTCATAATAGTAATGACAATAATAATTTCAGCTGTTCGTAAATCCAAAATCTTGTATATTAGAAAAAAAATGAGACTTATAATCTTTTGGGGGATAAATAACAAACATATTTGACTGTTGCAGTCAATTTTGTACCATATCGCTCGAAATTCACAGCTTTGTATATGCATGATTATCTCGAAGACTACAACTTGAAATTTTACAACTTATCCACTTCCTACACAGTTCAGATTAACGGTGATTGACTTAACGTATATTAATTACAAGTTTTGGTTTGTTAGTGTAGCACATGTTCTAATAATCTTAATTGATTAACATTCAAAACTTTACCAATCAAATTATCACTGCTGTCTAACAACTTAGGTCTTATTTCGGTATTGCCTATTCAATAATTTTACCATACATGATCAGTGTTTTTGAAGGTATCATTGATTAATATCATTTACTTCTTAAAGTCTAGGATATTAAATCGTCCCTAACTCTGTTCATAGACATATTACTCCTTTAAGCCTGTTACCTCTCGTAGAGGAGCATAGGCCTCCAACCAGCATTCTCCATCGAACTATGTCCTCGGCTATCCGTTCCAGCTGTTTCCAGTTGCTACTCATCCTCTTCATGTCTACTTCCGATTACCAACGCATCGTATTCATTGGCCTTCCTCTTTTCCGTTCCCCTTCACGATTTCAATTTAGCGCTTGCTTCGTGATACAGTTTGATGATTTCCTTAATATATGTCCTATCCACTCCCAACGTCTTTTCCTAATTTCCTAATCAGCTCGAAGCTAGTTTGTTCTCTCCCACAGTAAACTGTTGTTGATGGTATTCGACCAACAGATATTGAGTATCTTGTGTAGACAATTGTTTAGAAATAAATGTAATATTTTGATGATGGTTGTAGTAGTTCTCCAAGTTTCATCTAGCTATAGTAGAACTGTCTCGATGGTGATGTTGAAGATTGTGACTTTGATGTTGGTTGACAGTTGTTTTGAGTTCCATATGTTGTTCAATTGCATGAGTAGTGTCATTACTTTGTTAAAACTTGCCTTTACGTCTGCATCAGATCAGGTCATCTACGAATGTTAAATCATTAAGCCAATCAGGGCAGTTTATGAGTCAATGATAACAGTGGGACTAGATTACATAAGTAAAAATAATAAGTGAAAAGTAAAAATTGGTAGTGTGTTAGTTGTGATAACACTAATAAAGGCTTGAATCAATCTTTCATAATGGGAAATAGGTCAGTGACCTTTTTGACAGGTCCGTTTTCTGGTTTCACAAGAAAAAAGTCAGTGAGGGTAGAACCTAGAGGTGAACCCATCTCTATTTCGTCAATTTGTCTATAATATGTGTTATTATTAAAGACAAAACGGACATTCACTGTACATTTCGGGAGTAATTCTTTGAAACTAACCTCGGGAATTCTAATATTCATCTGTTTTTCAAGTAGTTGTTGGCACACCAACTCAGCATTCTCGGTTAACGGTACATTGGTGAACAAGGAAGCAACATCTAGAGATAACATCCGTTCCCCATTCAAGTTCATATGTTCAACCTTGGAAATGAAGTCGAAAACCCCAGTTTGTATATATTCGGATGAGTACATACATCCTCCATTCTGCATAGCTTATAAACTTCCTTCTCACTCTAGTAGCCGGTTCTACTCGTGTATGGGAAGATTACGTATTGATGTCAAATTAGATACCACACTTTATGTATGTAATTGTTTGTCATCGTTGTTCCGCATGCATATATATATATATATATATATATATATATATTTGTTCATCTTTTTGTTTTTTATAATATAGAGGTGAAGGTGTTCATGGATTTTATAAAGGACTTGTTCCATATGTACTCCGATGTACTCCTGCTTGTGGAATTACATTTCTTGTATATGAATATAGTTTAATCATATTTGATTGGATCAAATGACAATAATTAGCTTTCAATTATATATAGTTAATTATGCTTAATTTGTTTTACACGTAGATGTCTTTGACTTACATTTTGTAGAATTTATATGTATATACCAGTGATCATAATTTTTCTGATTTGTAGATTGTTGTCAATTTAATTCTACCCCATTTCTACATTCTCTGTATTCTTATAATGAATTGCTTATTAGAGTTGATTTACATTTTTCTAAGGAGTTTGGGACTGGGAAAAACCAACTATTTTATCTCTAGTCAATCATTCTACAAGTGACCCAACTTGTCACATCACAAATCAGCACAGGAAGGTGAAATGCTAAAGCATTCAACGTTATAGAATGGAAAGTGTGCAAGAAAAAGTGAACAATGAATGTCTTTACATACAGCGTAGTTGATATGAAGCCAGACTTAGAACCGATGGCAGCCCCAGAAGGACTCCAGGCGAAGTTTCCATTCGATTTACTGTGACTTTTTATAGCTTATTTAGGGTTAATTGTTAATGTAAAATCATTCTCAAAATGTCAGTCAGACAAGAACAATATAAACTTTGATTTATTGTCATCGGTTCAGGTTTCCGCATGGGCATCAACATAATGAGATGAAATTATTAAGATTGTAACCACCACAACTACACTTATTAGCATTAAATTTTTTCCAGATGATGATTGACAAGATCATAATAAGGGATTATATATTCAAAATATTCGTTCACAAAATAAATTACCATTTTGTTAGCTGGAAAGCTAATCTAAAATGCTATTTTATGCATATGCCCATGCATGACAAATTCCACGATTCTGTTTCATTCATTAAATCTCACTACACAAAGTTTACACTGCTGATATTATTCACTAATCAAGCACACAATTTATGCCGAGTCACTTTTTTACAATCGAGGGCTAGTGATAAGAAGTGAAAGCTATAACTTTACAGAAATAAAGATTACTAGTTGAAAGTTAAGCAATCTATACACTATTTTATTAACAGCGCAATAGTTAATTTAAAAACTCATTGACTGATTATGACTGTTAACCAACATTCTTCATTTATATTGTTTGTAGTCTGTTGAGTATATTTTATATTCCCCAAACAAATCTGAATTTTTTTGGCCATCGGGGATTAGGCTCAAGACATTTTGATAGTTGAAGGTCCTGGGTTCGGTCGCTAGTAGGTTCGTGGGTGTGCACTACGAATGAGTCCTGTACTAAGACAAAAGAGCTATTTCACACTTTCTAGTTTTTAGCGATTGTCTCACTTAAGTTAGTTCGTTTCCACCGATCCCTATATTACAACAATTGTTAAGTAACAAAAAACAGTTTACATTTTGGGACCCAATATTTACATTAGTTATTTCGATTAGTAGAATCAGTTATACCAATCCTATTAAATTTAATAACTTTGAATTGAGCTCTGTACTGAACTGTCGTAGCCAAGAGGTTGATACAAATCTCAAAATTGTAAATCTAGTTAGTAAAGAAATACTAATGTATGTTGGAATTTGTTGAAAGTTGTCACCCAAGCAAAGCATTCTTCACATTAATTTCTGTTGTCCTAACAAATTTGTATACTGATATCTTCGAAGATTGTCGGCTAATGATGAATGCTAATTGTAAAGGTTACTCGACATGTTGATTTATTTCAACTACTGATTGTATGAATGATCCCTTGTTGATTCTACTGGATTTCTGGGGTACATTCGATGTATTTCCCAATAGAAATCTGTGCATTGGAAAGTTTATTGTATCAGTTATACAGCACCCAGTCTTTGTATTCATATTTGACACCTCATATATACTCTGAGATCAATTAATTCGTGGTAGGCAAAAAGTCGTACATTCCTCGAGTTCGTTTGTTTCGAATATATTTTGAGAACATTTGTCTAATTTCTTCATCATCTTCATAGAACTACTTATTAAATTGGAAATATGTTGTTAGACACAAGTCGATACGACCCATCAAGTCTTGGCTTTGAAGTTTGATGTGTTCTGAAAAGTTCGTAACGCTGTCCACGACCAGGGATATATTATCCTTTGCTAAATACGGTCAATGGATATTTCAAAGCAGCTTTCAGTATTCCGAAGGTTTAAATAGTAGTCCGACGTATTTCTTTGGATAGATATGACATTACCGTATCAGTTTTTAAGTCAGTTATCTAATCCAATTCAAAGAGATAAAAACAAATTTATATACTTGAAGAATTCGTTTTATAATTTGATATGAATATTGTTTCATGAAGCTTATTCTGTTAAAATATGTCGTAATACTCGCTTACTATAACGTTCTCACATCAATCAGTCATAAGTAACCTAGGCCGTGGAACATACATGTGTCGGTTCATGTCACCACACCATATCAGCACAACTAAATAAAATTATCGGAATATATGTTAGAGTAGTAAAATTCAAATAGTACCATTGACATTAGAAACTATTAGACATAAACAATATAAATGAAAAAAAAAGAATAAAGATAATTTTGAAATTCAGGATCTAAAGGAAATGCAAAATGTGGATTTATTTGCACTATTGAAATCAATATTCTTTATCACTAAGTGTTGGTCACGATAATCGTTAAACTCCAACCAAGTAGTCGGCAGGTACCAACATGCCTCATTTCAATAATAAATGACTTGATAGTTTAACTGCTCCTATCTTTCTTCCAACCGACTAAGTGTTTTCACATGATTTTGTATTGAGGAAAAAATATATATGTAATTACATATTTCTAAAAGAAATTCTAGCTACCTACTTACATCTTAGTAACCATTTTTAAAAATCTGATTCTAGTTGAATTCGTATCATTTTAATAGAATCTTTTTAAAACGGAAAGGATAGTTTCATTGGAATTAACAAGTTTCAGAATAAAACAAATTCTAATCACATAATTGGTTCAATAAACTAATCACTGATTGAAATCATGAGTCAATTGAAGCTAGACCACCATGGAAAACTTGGAAGCACTGGACGCCCGTTTCGTCCTAGTATGGGACATTAACACCGTTGGATGCCGGCCGGCTCAGTGGTCTAGTTGGTTAAGCGCCTGGCGCGAGACTGATGGGTCCTGAGTTTGGATACCAGGGGGGGGGCGAGATCGTGGGTGCGCATTGCTTAGGCGTCCCGTACTAGGACGAAATGGCCGTCCAGGTTTTCCATGGTGGTCTAGCTTCAATTGACTCATGATTTCAATCAGTGAAATTTCTAAAATCTCCACAAAACCTCTTCTGATAATAATCACTGATCAATAAAATCACTTTATAAGCTATCAATTTTCTTTGTAATTACATGATAGAATCAGCAAAAGTTAATCGGATTGAACATGATAACTCTGATTGATCATAAAGAAAAGCAATTAAATAAGACATTCTTATGTTACCGTCGAACAATGAATTACGATAAAATAAAATCGTTACGTATATCATTTAATAAACGAACATAACACATCCGAAAAACGAATAAAGAGAACAAAATTGCAGAAAAATTTGAATGCTTTTTTTCATCAATCTGTTGTTTATAAATTAAACTGTACACTTGGATATCATTTAATCAGCATTACTTACACCTGTTACTTCCAATGGAGCATAGGCCGCCGACCAGGATTCTCCAACCCACTCTGTCCCGGGCATTCCTTTCTACTTCTCTCCAATTTTTGTCCATTGTTTGCATATCTATATCCATTTCTCGACGTGATGTGTTCTTTCTTCTTCCTATTCTCCTTTGGACTTGAGGTTCCAAGTGAGGGTTTGGCTTGTGACGCAGTTGAGTGCCCCTACAGCAGGTTGTTGCTGGTAGTATCTGGTCAACGGAGCCGAAGTATTTTGTGTAGACAATTGTTAATAAACACTTGTATCTTCTGGATGATGGTTTTCGTAGTTCTCCAGGTTTCCGCCCCATACAGCAAAACTGTCTTGACATTTGTGTTGAAAATTCTGACTTTGGTGTTGACTTACAGACAGTTGTATTGATTTCCAGGTGTTCGTCAATTGTGGATATGCTGCTCTTACTTTGCCGATTCGCTCCTTCACATCTGCATCAGATCCACCATGTTTATCAATGATGCTGCGCAGATATATAAATGTGTTTACATCCTCCAAAGCTCCATCAAGTGTAATTTGATCGGTGCATCCTATGTTGTACCAACACGAACTCCACAAAGTGATATATGTAGCTGAAGATTAGATACCAATTAGAATATTAGTTAAACGGATTACATCTATCAGGACAGTAAATAAGAAAAATCGGTTCGGCGAATTCATTTTCAAAGCTGTACAATCGCATATATATACTTATTTTTTTTAGGATGATAATAATTACAATAATAATGATAATAAACTTTTGTTAGACATAGTGAAAGTGAGATAGAATAAACAAAATTATTGAAAAAATTTTTAAACAGGGAAACTAATAATCGTTTGATTGTTAATAGTTCAAATATTCATCAAAAGACAGATAGGGAAATCATCGTTGTCAAATGGGTAGCAAAAACAGCCTCTGCATCAATAGGCCTCAGCATTCCCAAGAGAAAAACCAAGATCCTCAAACAAAACTCGGAAAACACCAACCCAATCACGCTTGATGGAGAAGAGGTGGAAACTTTCACGTACCCAGACAGCATCATCGATGAACATGGAGGATTTGATACAGACGAAAATATAAGGGTTAGCAAAGTAAGAAGAGCATTCCTACAATCGAAGAACATATGGAACTCAAAACAACTGTCAACCAACATCAAAGTCACAATCTTCAACATGACCATCGAGACAGTTCTACTATAGCTAGATGAAACTTGGAGAACTACTACAACCATCATCAAAATATTACATTTATTTCTAAACAATTGTCTACACAAGATACTCAATATCTGTTGGTCGAATACCATCAACAACAGTTTACTGTGGGAGAGAACAAACTAGCTTCGAGCTGATTAGGAAATTAGGAAAAGACGTTGGGAGTGGATAGGACATATATTAAGGAAATCATCAAACTGTATCACGAAGCAAGCGCTAACTTGGAATCGTGAAGGGGAACGGGAAAGAGGAAGGCCAATGAATACGATGCGTTGGTAATCGGAAGTAGACATGAAGAGGATGAGTAGCAACTGGAAACAGCTGGAATGAATAGCCGAGGACATAGTTCGATAGAGAATGCTGGTTGGCGGCCTATACTCCTCCATGAGGAGTAACAGGCGTAAATAAGTAAGTAA